CACGCATTGTAAGGATGAGTGACTTTCCGAGGTTACCCTTGCATCCTTCCCCGTCGGCCCATCCTCGGCCATTTTCGCACGCGCCCCGCTCGCAAAGTGACGATCTGGCATTCCACGGCCCTTGCATGCTTCTCGTGCGTCCAAATTGTACGGACTGACTGAAGTATAGCATGACTACATACATCTATCTGAATTCAGGGACATATACCGACACCACGTTTTTTTGGCTGGCCAGGGATCCAAGGAATTCGGCGACACAATTCGGCGTATAGACAGGTTGTGCAGTTGGGACCCCTCTCAGAGAAGATGTCCTCCCACCGCCGCAGGCGCGCGTACGGCGGCCGAGGCGGCCGCGGCGGCTACGGCGACGACAGTTCCGAGGGCCGCAGCTGGAAGCTCGAAAACGTATAGCATACACGAGCCAACATCTTCAGAGTTCCGCGCGCACCTGTCCGAGTGGCGCCAAGTCCTGCCGGTGCCTCCGCGCCGCCCCCCGGCGCGCTCCACGAGGTGGCGACGGAGGTTCGGCGCCGCTCCGAGACATCCGCGCGGACCTCCGGAGGTTTCTGCGCTCGTGCAGGGCTTGTTCTTCCTCCAGAGGCGGTGGCTACGGCGGCCGCCGGAGCAGCGACGAGGGCGGCGGCAGCTACGGGAGCCGCGGCGGGGGCGGCTATGGGAGCCGCGACAGCTACGGGAGCCGCGGCGGGGGCGGCGGCTACGGCGGCGGTGGCCGCGGAGGCCCGCTTGGGGTGAGGGCAGGAGTGCGCGGAGGCAAGCGCCAGAAATTCGTGGGGAGGAAGAAGGACCCCGACCCCCACAATCGGCGTTTACCAAACAGCACTGGGCTTTAACTAAACAGCCCTGTCCTGTTCGATTCCTTCCTGGGTGCGTTTGCCAAAGGCTTTGCTCGTTGGGGTGCTTATTATGAGGGTTGTTTTTCTGTCCTCTAGGTATGCCTCCGCAGTTCAGTCTGGGGGGGCACCAGCGTGCGCTAGAGTCTGGTGATCGATGAGACAGCGTCGATTAGCGTCGATCAGCGTCGATTCGTGTCGGTTTGCGCCGATCCATTGGAGCTTGCAAGATGACGTGGGAGGCTCCCGTGATTGCCACATACCACATGAGACGGGTCCTGGTCTCATACAAAATTTGCGCGTTCCGCCGCCGAATCCCAAAACAAGAACAGGCGACGTACACATAGATTGCCGCAGGTCCGCGTGGATTCCTTTGATCCGCGCTTTGCCCCCCTGGCAGCGCCTCCAGCGCCGCCCCTGGCGCGCTCCGCGCGCCAGGGAGGGGATACAGCGCCAATGCAGGAAATCTGCGCGGGCCTCCGGAACGTTTCGTTTGCGTTGTTTCTCTTGTCCCAGAGCTTGGTGGCATGGGCCTCATGGTTCGGGGTATCGCCGCCGATCGCAAAGTCCACATCGAGCCCATCGATCCGAGTCGATTCTAGTATTCCGACGATCCGATGCGGCCCGATGATTGCATGGCGTTGTCGTGCATCTTGGTGCAGCCGATCCGATTCGATTTCCATTCCGTGCCGATGCAGCCCGACCCGATGCAGCCCGACCCGATGCACATTTCGAATCGGTCCGGTTTGCCGATTCGATGCTTATTCTTCCTGGATCCGTAGTTCTAGCGCCCAGGCGCCATATTCACATCGGTTGTCGTTTTTCGTTTTCAAGCTTCGGACGGTTTCTGATGCTTCAGTGTGTCCTCCTCGTTTGCCTCCTCGCTTGCATCCTCCCCCCTCCCCTCCTGATTCTCTCCGCTTCACTCCCCACCCTCACTCCCCAGGCTTTCCTTCTGAGCCCGTTCGGCGTCTGAGCCCGCTCAGCCTTGGAAGTGTGGCGGCCGAACGGGCTCGGCTCCGGCAGGTGCCGTGGGAGCTGAGCCCACGTGGCCTCCGAGCGGGCTCGGACGCCGAGCGGGCTCAGACGGGAACCCTTTGTAGGGGGCCACATGCGAACCCTACCCTTGCCCCCCACGATTTCTGAGGGGGAGGGTGGGGTTCGCATGTGGCCTCCTACTTTGGGTTATCCTTGGGTAGAGCTGGCACGCGGATTCATGGTAACCCAAGCTTTAGAGAGGTGCCCTCGGATTCTTCGTGGTTGGACTATCCACCCTGGAATGTTCTTCGCCTTGGGAATCTCCAGTACATGTGGCATTTGGGCCTTTGGAGAAGGGGCTCGTGCTCTTGGCCTGCTTTCTGGTGGCCACGTTCCGACTTAATGGGACACTCCTGTAGTGGTTGACCTGACTGTAGACATTTTTCCAATTTTGAACCACCACCAGTGTTTATAACTTCTCCGCCTGTGGCCCTGGATCGGCCATAATGGAAATATCTGCGCGATCGAAACGTCGAGACTATTCAAGGTTGAAGATCCGCGCGGTGTCAGAAACCAACGCCGACGTCAGGGCGACCCGATCTTGCTGTACCGCGCTTGTCCCCATGCACTCGCGCTCGCAATCAGTTGGCTGCCGAACTGTCGCGTCACTGCCAAGGCTAGGCCCGCCCCTAAAATTCGTGCCAGGACTGTGTCTGAGAGAGATAGTACAGGGGCAGGTCCAGATTCGGCTTGGCCAGGGACGTCGCGCACCTTACGCAGCCGATCAGTCCGTCCTGGGGCGCCCCTGTCGTCAAAGTGCAACGGGAAGCCCACGACCCACGGTGTCATTATGTTGAAGCAATTGACCTTTTGTGCTTGGGTCTAAGAAGGCAGCCTCGGTCAGCATCAGGCCGTTACGTCTTGGAATCCATTGCTCCTCTATCTTGAGGCAGTTGTATAGGAGGGGGTCGAGAGGACAGACCCACGTTTGAATCCAAGTTAAGTCATGCCTCGTCTGTTTGTTGTTGTTCATTTTTTTTGCGTTAACGGATGCCTACGTTCTTTTGCAGTGTTTTGAGGAGCGCAGACATGCTGGCGACAGGCCAGGAGGGTACCACCATGATCTCAGTCCCAAGACGGGTCCGTGCAGACTCGGTGGTTGATGTTGTCCTTCTCCCTGCATGTCGCCCTGGGGCTCCTCAAGCCCTGGCCGTTTGGCCTGGAGGAGATGTCCACCATAATGTTGTCGCTGGCCAAGACCATGGCGAGATCACGCCAGTTTGGCCAGTCCATGTGTCGCTGGTTCGGTCATTGCTCGCCCCTCTAGAACCGCTTCACCGACCGGTATCCAAGATCGATGTACGCGAAGCCACGAGGTCAGAACACCACCCGTGCCCGTACGAGCCGCAAAGCACAATCCTTCGGGCTTCCTGTTGCCTCCTCTTCCCTCCCCCTCCTGATCCTGTCCGCTTCACTCGCCACCCTCACTCCCCAGGGACCCCTTCTGAGCCCACTCGGCGCCTGAGCTCGCTCGGCCTCGGATGTTTGGGATGTGTTCTGATGTGTTCAGTGTGTTCGAATCTTTTCCGATGGATGTTTTCCAGACCCAGGGCATCAGTTGTGCCTTGTCCAGGGCTTTCCGGGGAGAATGGAGTCATCCCGAGCGGCAGTTTGATGCCCGAGTTGTCATGGCCCGAAAGCCAGTTGGAGGGGTCGGGGCTCGCACCAGGGTTCCTTTCTGGGCCCGTTCGTCGTCTGAGCCCGCTCGGCCTCGGAAGTGTGCAGCCGAACGGGCTTAGCTCCGGCAGGTGTCGTGGTAGCTGAGCCTTCGTGGCCGACGCATGGGCTCGACCCTGAGCCCGCTCGGCGACTAAGATTCCGCACGCTGTTCAGAAGGGGGCCCTGAGGCTCTCTCCCTCCTCGCACCACCACCCCCGCTCGGCCGCCGAACGGGCTCGACCCTGAGCCCGCTCGGCGGCCGAGCGGGATCAGAAGCCGCACTTTGCTCGGAAGAGGGCCCCTGAGGCTCTCTCGGTCCTCAACCCCGTCCCCTCCCCACTCCTCTCCCATACCCGTCCCTCCCTGGAGGGCCCATCTCAGGCCCATCGATCCGATTCGATGTCGATTCCAGCCGCCCCGATCCCATTCGATTTCGATATTCCGACGATCCGATGCGGCCCGATGATTACATGGCGTTGTTGTGCATCTTGTTGCAGCCGATCCGATTCGATTTCGATTCCGTGCCGATGCAGTCCGATCCGATAGACGTTTCGATTATACCCGATTTACCGATTCGATGTTGATTGATCCTGCTCTGTTTTCTCCCCCGCCCCAGCGCGTCTGCCCCTGGCAGTCCCCCCAACGAAGGCTGTCCCTCCTCCATCCCCATCGATGGTTGCACTTCTCTGTCGCACCCCCCCTGGGTCGACTGCCTACTTCCCTTGTGTTCCGCGCTGTCGCTGCTGGCGCTTCGCGCCGTCCGCCACCCTCCCCTTTCTGTGCATTAGGCCGCCTGGGGCTCTTGGCTGGGCCTCCCTTCGCCTGACCGACCGTCCCATCCGCTCACCTCGCCAGGCGGGGGCTACGGCGGGGGCGGCGGCGGCGGCTACGGCGGCGGGGGCCGCAGCCAGCAGCAGATGACGGAGGCGAAGCAGGCCCGCGAGACGGATCAGTTCTGGAGGTACCAGAGGCCCGCTCTCGCCCAAGGAGGGTGACGAGTGAGGGGGCGCTCGGGCGATGAGGAGGATGCATGTGCATATGCACATGCATACCTCTCTGGACTCACTGGAAGGAAGAGGTCCTGAGCTCAGAAGGGCGTCCTGCAGTGCTTCCTCCGTCTCCCGGCCTTGATGGGGTAGAATTTCAGCAGGACGCTAAGCAAGTCGACCTGGCTCGAAGGTGTCACGGACCACCTTGATGCCGAGGGAGGCCGCAGCAATCTGCATCTGGACGGAGAACGACCGTGGGGGTCCTCCCGGGGCCCGGGGGCGTCGGAGCACGACCGTGGACGAAAAGCGCTTGGCCTCTTCGGTGATGGCAGCGGGCTCGAGGATCCGTTTCGTCGGGGCCCGCTGGCTGTCTTTGATGCCACGGGGAGGGAGGGGGAGAAGGAGAAAGATGCCGCGATCGGCAAGTGGGGGGGCGGAGGAGCAGGGGAGAAAGGGGGGATGCGGAGCAGGAGGAGGAGGAGGAGGAGGAGGAGGAGGAGGACTGCTTCCTCGTGGCCCTGGTGCGTGAACTCGCGCCGATCCCTCATGGGAGCATGAGCTGGCTTGGATGGATACGTTGCAGTCGGAGGGCAGTGGTGCGGAGGGCAGTGGTGCTGTCCCAATCCCGCTGGTGCGTCTCGGGGACCTCGTGTCCTTCCTTCTCAGCATCCTCAGACCTATCCCCGTCCTCACTGGGGACGCCTTGGTCCTCGTGTGCGGCATGCCCCCCCCCCCCCCTCTGGGTGGGAAACGGGGCAGTCCCCGTCCGCGCCGTCCCTCGAGGGGTATGCTGGTGGCGCTTAAGAGCCCTTGCCCACCAGGGGGTTCGAGGAAGCGCAAGCACGGCTTTGGCGCGTGGATTAGCGACGGGCCCCGCTTCCGTACAGAGTCGGCGCGCTCTGTCGCCACGTCGGGCGGAGTTGGCCTCATCGTTCGGGGGGCGCTCTCCCCGATCCGTGGATGCCGGCGCCCACGCGCCAGACCCACGCAGCATCCCGAATCCATGTCAGAGCGTACCCGAGGGATGTTGCGCTTCTCGCTTCTTTCCCTGCACGGCGGGCACGATCTCGCAGCTCCGCGCCCCTGGGCCGTGCTCGATGGCTGTGGCGGCTTTTCTGCGCCCGCTTGCAAATGAGCTCACCGAGCCCGTGACCCGCGAGCGCGCGTCTGAGCAGGCGAGAGGAAGGGAGGAGGAGGAGGAGGAGGACCAGTGTAAACTCAAGACTCATCAACTATGTGGGAAAAAAAGCCTCCCTCCAAGCTCCCTCTTCATAGGCCCCTACACGGGTTCATTTCCACGAAGGGAACTGCCTCGTTGGGAGACAACCGTTGGAAGGTCCTGAAGCGAGCCCAAATACCATTCTCGGGACTCTCCACGCCATGGATCAACCGAATTGTTGCGTCTTGACGATCCTGAAACTTGCCAGAACGCCATTCCTGGGACGTCAACACCGCGAATCAACGTAACGGTTGCACCCTCATAATCCCGAGTCTTTCCAAAACACATGTTTTGGTGCATTGGCCATGGGAATCCGTGAGATTATTGTCTTGTATGTTGTAAGCCGAATGTGCGCGGCGCTAAGGCGAGAGCCACATCTGGAAAACCAGTTGTCCTCAATCTTTGAAGCTGTTGCAATTGTTAAGACGAGTACGCCCGGTGCTAAGGCGAAAGCCACATTTTGAAAATGGCCCGCTTTCAACCGGAGGAAGAGGAGTAGGACGAAGGGAGGAGGGAGGAGGGAGGAGGGAGAAGGGAGGGAGGGAGGAGGGAGGAGGAGGAGGCAACTAGGAGGGAGGAGTGAGGAGGGGGGAGTAGGAAGAGCAGGAGGAGGAAGAGGAGGAGGAGGAGGAGAACGCGGAGGGAGGAGGATGAGGACGACGACTACGAAGAAGGGGGGGAGGAGGAGGAGGAGGGAGGAGGAGGAGGAGGAGGAGGAGGAGGAGGAGAGATCGAAAAGTGGGGAGGACGAGGATGAGGAGGAGGAGGAGGAGGAGGAGGAGGAGGACGACGACGACGACGGCAATGGCGAGGACGAGGACAAGGACGAAGATGACGAGGATGACGAGGTAGACGAGAGGGAGAAGGGAGCCGAGAAGGCGGGAGGGCGGGGGAGGAGGGGGAGCATGGGAAGGGAGGGGGTAATGACGAGAACGAGGATCAGGGTATGAGGGTGGGGAGAGGAGGGGGGGGTAGCAAGCTAGGTGCGCTCGCGTCAAATCTGACGTTCTATTCATCCGTCCCATCCCTTACCATGGCGTAGATCTCCTCTCTATTCGCACAATCGGATGTCGCAACATGGCATAGCATTACATGGCATAGGATGGTGTTGAAGATCAACGCGTAGCATGACATATCATGATGCGTCGATGCCCCAAAGTGTTGGGGGCTTCTGCGGCCCAAGAAATCAACGATTCGACACCGAATGTGGAATCATTTCCGATGTGTTTTTTTCTGGAGGCCATTTTCTAATTTTTGGGCCTACCGATTTGGAAGCACCGGAAGCCATGCCGTGGCATGGCGCTGGAAATAATGACGCCAGCGCTGCAGCGCGAGCACGACTCGGGACGAGCGGAAGTTCGGAAATGAGCTGCATCGGGAGCACGATTCGGAACGAGCGGTAGCCCGAAAATGAGGCCAGCGTTGCAGCAAGAGCAGCATTCTGAAAACAAACAAGCCAAAACTCGTTTCCCGGGAATCTTGCGTGTAAAAAACCAGTACGCGGAGGGGGGCCGAATATTTCCCGCACGCCACCAGGGGAGAGAAGAGAGTAGTATTCATATTGTGTAATTGTGGAGGTGGGAGGAGGAGGGTGAGAAGGGGGGAGGGAGGAAGAGGAGGGAGGAGGCGGAGGAGGTGGAGGAGGGAGAAGGAGGAGGAGGAGGAGGAGGACGCCCCTTCCCTCACGAGGCAAGTGATCCAGCGCGGCGTGAGGGGGCGCGACGACATGTTCTGGGCCAGCGAGGAACCGCCGCCGCCGCTCGTGGCTCTCGCCCCGGGCCCCTGGCCAGGCCGGTGCGGATCCGGCATCGAGGATCGAGGAGGATCCAGCATCGAGGATCGAGGATGTTCCGGGCGGTTCCAGTGGGCGGGATGCAGGATCGATGTTGGATGTCAGATGGTGGCGAGGCACTCGTGGGGGGCAGCGCCCTCGAAAGAGGACGGCGACGAGAACGACAGCGACAGGATTGAGGGTCGAGGATCCAGGATCGACGATCCAGAAGGATCCATCGGACGAGGCTAAGACGAGGATCAATCCGTTTCAGAGCGTTGCTTCATCTCAGGGCGTTCTGGAACGCTCTGAAAAAGGCGGCGCCCGAGACATCCTCCAGAGGCGCCAGATCTCCGAGATCCTCGATCTATCATTACCAGAGTTTATCCTCGTCCTGGCTTCGTCGCAATCCAGGATCGAGGGTCGAGGAAGATCCCGCATCGACGAGGACCACGGGCTGTTTGGGTCGAGCGGGCGTGTCGCGCGAGGCAGCCTCCTAGATAATCGAGAGTCTCTCCCAGCAGCCCGTGGGGGTCCGCGGGCACGCCTCTCCCCGTCGTCTTCTCCAGGGCCACCACGAGGGTGCGAAGTCAGTCGCCTTTCGTGTTCTGGGCGATTTCAGAGCGAGGCGCGAGTCCCTCATCGTGTTTCGATGATCCTCAGGACGCGTGTTATTCCAATGTGTATTTGCCCCGTTCAGCCCCCACCGGTGGATCATTGCATCGCCTGCGTCGCATGGAAGGGCCTCGGTGGACAGACACACGTTGGCGCCAACACACGTTCTGATGATCATCGGCTGTTCCAGAGGGGGAGGGGGGGGCGCGCGAAAGCTTGCAAAAACATGCCAATTTGAGGCCGTCCTCATTGCCCAGGATGGGCCTGGGAGTGGGCGTCCTCCACATCGTCGGCCCTGGAGTCGTGCTCTCTGTAGGGTTGATCAGGCCAGTCGAGTCCACCTGTCTGCGCTGTGTCGTTACCTTTCACGCGCCCGCCGCCCTGGCAGCGCGAAGGCGACCTGGAGCGACCGTCGCAGGTTTGCGTGTTCCCTTCTCTAGGGTCAGGGACTGCGGCCCACAGGCTGGGGGAAGTTCAACGCTCGGGAAGGCGATGGGTGAATCGAGAGGCCGAGGGTGCTGCTTCTCAACGCCTGCCCTTATGGGCCCCACAAAGGGACCAATAAGTGTCCCCCTGAGATAGCGCGAATAGAGCCCCAGGGGGCCTCCAGGATGGTCCCTAAACGGCCGTGGCGCTTGAGACCTCTTCACTGCACATTGAACTCGAAGGGATTGTTTCTCAAAGCTCGAAAGAAGACTGGGGGAGGAGTATTCGAAGGTCGGGGTCGTTGTTTCAGGATTTGTTTGGGGGGGGGGTTCTGGAGGCCTCGTCGCCACGGCGGGTCTGGGCCGCAGCCCGAAGAGCTGGCCAGGGTGGACTCCCAGGAATGGTCAGGGGATTTATTTGGGGCGGATTTGTGTCGAAGGGAGGGGGTCGATTGGGAAAGTCGGCGGCGAGCCCGGGGAGGAAGTGAGAAGCGGCGGGCCTTCCCAGAAGGCTCGGAAGTCCCCGAAGACATAACATTTCTCCGACGGCGCGAGGGCTTCTGAGGAGCCCCGCCGCCTTCTGAGAGGGCCTTCTCCTTATCATTTCCCCCCTTCGCTCGCCGCCGAGAAGGGGGGGGGTCCCTGAACTCTGCTGCGTGCAGCTGGTTTCGGCCCGCCGCCAGGCGCTTTCTTTCCTCGGTGCCGCCGGAGCGCCTCCGACGCCAGGAGGTGCTGGGGGGAGAACCGCGCGCAGCAGCTCTTTCCTGACCCCCCCCTTTGCTGAGAAACAAGAATGGCACAAACAGACAAACTTTCAGAGGGTGGTACATCGAGGAACGCATAATAAAATAAACATGAACTTTAAGGAGGTTCGCGCGGATTTCTGAGATCGGCGCTGGGCCCCCGTCCCTGGCGCGAAAAGCGCGCCACAGGGCGGTGCCGGAAGCGCCGCTAGGAGAGGGCCCCAGCGCCGATCCAAGAAATCCGCACAGAACTCCAAAAGTTTCTGTGTATTGCATTTTGTGTTCCTCGATGTGCCCCCCCCCCAACCCGCTCCGCTCCGTGTTGGCTGCTTTGCGTGTGGCAGCACATGTTCGGAACGTGGAGCATATACATTACCAGTAGCGGGCGGCTTTTTCGATCCCAGGACTTCTTGAGGCTCGGGGACGACCCCGGTTTGGTGTGGTGTACACTTGTTCCTCCTTTCTCCTGGGGGAGCAACGAAGAATGTTACACCCGGATCCCGTATACACCAGGATCCGCTTCCTTGTGCGAGATTCAGTGTGAGGCCAGACAAAGGCGTCGGTGCATAGAGTTCCCTTCCCTACATGTGTCGAGCGCGCGCCGTGCCTCGTGGTCTGCACGCGTGCGGGCGCGGCGGCGTTTCTGGACATCGTGTGCGTGCTCGTGCACGCGGCCTTGTCTCCCGTCGTCGGGCGTTCACGACTCGGTTGCGTCTCTTCGGCATTGCTCCACTGCTCCATGACCCCGCTCCGCACCGCCTCTGGCCCCATCGTCGATGATGCTCGTTCCATGCTGTACCGTATCCGCGATTTGTCCCGAAGAGCCCTTTGGGGACGAAAAGCGTAGCCCTTTTTTTCTCACGCTCCAGACTCGATCCAACGCAATCGAAGAACGCACGAAGCATCACCATACGCTTCCGAAGCTCCCCGCGGTTTTCTTGGATCTGCGGCGGGCTCCCTGGCGGACTCCGCGCGCCAGGGGAGGGACCAAGAGTGGATCCAAGAAAGCCGCCAAACCTGGAAAGGTTTATGTTTATGCAGTTTTTTGGGTCACAAGCTGACAGCTAGCACCCATACCTATGCGACCCATCGAGTTCTCAGGGTTGAATCCCGTTGGGGGCTACGGGTGTGTGTTGTCGGATGGGGGTCCCCGCTCGAACGGGAATTCCCGTCGGGGTCCGACAACCCGCACTGGTATCCATAGTGCCTTCATCTTTTTGCCCTTCCCAACTCCTCCTTTCTATAGGATTGACGGTGTGTTGACACAATTGGGCCGACTGATCAGGTCGAGGTCGGGTCGGGGTTTGTTGGATCATGTTGTGCATCCAGGGGAGGGTACCGTTGGATGTTCTGTTTGTTTTGGCCGACGGAGGGTTTCATGTTCTTGAAGTGTGTTATTCTGGCCTGGGCCCGACTGTATTTCATCATGCTGTGTCTGAACAAGGCGGGCCCGAGTTGCGCGGCAGCTGGGCTCGCGCGGCGTCGCCGCGGCGGCGACCCGAGCGCGGGCGTGCTGGGGTGAGCGTTCCGTGCGCTCGCTCGGCCTCGCTCCCCGCCTCGGGGGCCGGTGCCGGAACGCTGGGGGTGGGACCTGTTTTTCTCCTCCTCCTTCTTTTGTTCCTCTTTCTCCTCCTCTTCCTCCTCCTGTCTGTAACGTATGGCCCATTATAAGATGGTTCCGTCAAGGAGCCCTGTCCTGTCGTTTTGGTTGCAAGGCTTTATTCGGTGATGGTGGTGATCACAATCTCCATTGTCCTGCTGCTCTGAGTACGCTCCTCTGTGCGCTGCCCATCAGCCCCCATATTATAGTGCATGGGTTTGGCATGAACATATGTTTTGCATTTTTAGGGCACACCCCACCAGTTAACAATTGTTATTCGTCTTCCTAGTGCATGGCATACTGCTAGCTCCTTATGACATTCTGAAGTCTCAGGACAGATATGGCCCTGAGTGCCTCCCCGCACTGTTCAGAGCGCGTGCAAGAGTGCTCGCCCGTCGCCGTGCGGGCCTTCGCGCACTATGCCAGCGGCGGCCTGCCCATTCTGCAGGCCCTCCAGGATGACCTGTTCACCAAGGCCTTTGCCTTCCTCCTCCTCCATTTCCTCCTCGTCCTGTCCGCGACCACTTTGGGTCCAGATGTCTTCCTGGGGGGGCTGCTCAGCCTCCAGGCAGAAGAAGGTGCCGCTAGTCCTCGGCACGTTTTCAATCAGTTTCGGGCGCGCGCAAGGCCCGAGCTCATTCACACGTTGTTTTGTGTTTGTGGCCCTCCGTGGGTTGCGACGTTCGATCGGCGTGCGCGGCACTTCGTGAGATGTTGCCGAAGGGGCGGGCAGGGGGCGCCAGATAATGGCGCTGTAACTGGTGCGTGAACAAGTGGTCAGGCAACGAGCTCAAGAACCACGCGCGTCGGGAGAGCTGGTTCAAGTGCTGGGCATACCAGGGGAGTGCCGACAGAGGTCCTCCCAGTTCGGCTACTTCGCCGACTTCGCCGAGCGTTACTTCGCGCTCTGCTCCGTGGGCCAAGTAGTGGACGGACTTGCAGAATCAGCTGGAAACGCTTCAAAAACAGCTCACGAAATCCGACGCGAAGTTGCACGGGCTGCGGAACAATTCAGAGCGAGGCGCTATGGATATTAAGTCAAAGGCTCCAGGCGCAGGCGACGGAAAAAACCTGGAGGTTAAGTCGGGCTTTTCTCTTTACAGGATGAAAGTCTGAGAATAGTCAAACAATCGGCTAGGGACGATTTTTTCTATTATTTGTTGATAGTGTTTGGGCATGTTTCGATTGCTTCTGATGTGTTTCCCCAAGTCCGCCTGTAGGAGGATATGCCCGATCGAGCCCTGCGGCGGATATCATGCCGCCCGCGAAGCTCATCGACTCGACCTACGGGCTGGGCGGCGACCCCATCATGATCAGGCGCGAGGAGGCGATCGCAGAGAGGGATGCGCGGAAAAAAGGTAAGGACATTGAACAGAAGCTGTTGCAGGCACAGGTCGCAAGAGTGGAGCAGAATATTAAGGCGGCCCAGAATGCGCAGCTGCGGCTCCAACAGTCCGAGACCAACTTCCGCAATGCGATCGTCGAGCTGGAGGGAAAGGCCGAGCGGGCCCGCGACCAGTGCGTGGAGAAAGCTCAAAGAGCTGCTGGATCTTGAACAGCAGCCTGCGCGGTTCGTGGACGGTGCTCTTC